CTTGCATAGCCATGAAAGAGAGTACTTTATTATGTACTATTCTATTCAAACCCTTAAATCATCTCATTCAGGTCATACTAACCAAAACTTGGCAATTAAATTCACTAAAATACTCACAAAGAACTTGATGAGCTGTATATCTTTTCTTTGGATCACGATTTAGCATATTGCGTATGAGCTCTTTAGCACTATCCGAAATAAGGGGCCATGGTTCCGATTCAAAATCCAAAGGACCTTGTAAAATTTGTCTGAAGATCCCTGCTTCAGATTCTGAGAGTAACATGAGAGCAAATATGACACCAGTCTCAGATAAAAAGGAAAGTTTCACAAAAGCCCCCCCAAAACCCTGCAGGGTATTTCCCACACCTGCCTGCCCGACCCCCCCCCCCCCCCCACCCCCAAAACTCCCCCCCAAAAAAAACCCACCCACAGACACCCCCAAAGAAAAAAAAAGCTTTTCCTTGCGATCCCAAAACCATTTCCACAAACCGCCCAAAAGCTCGAATGCGCCTTTCAGATAACCCCACCAAACTTTTGTCGTGCCTCGCAAAACACCCGCAAAGTAACAGAAGAAGCAGAAAGAACATTGACCCCAAAAAACCCAAGAACAGAACCAAAATTGGCAAATAATAAGGTCCCTCCAATAGCAAGCAGAATTTTATTGAATGGTCCAGTGGGGGGGTGGGGGGGTGGGGGGGGGTTTAGTGTTGTGGGAAAAGTAAGTTTTTGGGGGTTATTTGAAACATTTTGGAGTTTTAGGGATTTGGGGGAAGACAACAAAGTTTTGGGGAGGTTTTGTTACATTTACCTATAAAGAAAGTATAGAAGGAGAAATGTTAGCATATTCACTATACCTGCCCAAAAAGGTGGAACACCACTCAATAAGATATACAAGATGACTCCAGCACTCCATACATCTGCTTCTGGACCATAATACTTACGTAAGACCTCAGGTGCAACATAATAGGGACTCCCGACTACATCACAGAATATATCACCTGGAAAATCAAAAACAGATTAGTCCCGATAGACAGCATAGAACGATTACAAAACCTTATCTGCATACATAATACAATCCATAAAGTTTTTTCTCAGTGATGAATTAGAAAGGCACTCAAGGTCAGGCGACTCCACTTTGGTCAAGCAGGACCAAGAACCACTTAGCATTCGGGAGTTTCTTACATAACTCCCCTTTAACTATTAAAATGTCATAAAACTCCCATAAGTTTTAAGGTTCTCAGAAAACCCTGCTTCAACTGTCAATATTTGTCACTCACTCACACACACACACATTCAAAGAAAAAAAGGGGGGGAAAGAAAAAAAAAAACCTAAAAGAGTGAACCACAGTTTTCAATAGTAAAAAAAATCTCCTTGCGTAATTTTACCCGCCTATGTGGAATCTGAGTTAACTCCATTAAGGTGTTCTTTTGAAAAATATCGATAAGTTGAAAGGGACTTTCTGAGAACCCCAGGGTTTGGTGATAGTTTGAAAGTTAAGGATTATCCAAGGAATGCCAAAACTCAAGGGAAGTTTTTTTCTGAAATTTATCCACTAAAAAACTCGTCTTTCAATTCAAGTTCATAACTTGGAAATCTATTACTTCGCTATTGACATATTCGATAGTGTTACGAATGATAAGATTATGTACATTTTTTTTACAAATATAAAAACTCGTCTGGGACAATTGTAACTTTTTTAACCATTAATTATGTAGTGACACCACTTTCTAGAAATCTTGGATCTGCCACTGACAAGTAGGGAAACCAAATAGAAATGAGGAAAACAAGAACCATCACTAAAATGGTTTGACTAAAAGAGAAGACCGACACTATATTAATCACAGAATTGTACGACTTTTAGATACTTCAGTTCATCAACACATGAGTAGAACGTCGATGAAGTTGACCATACAAGGTTGATTCAGGGATATCAAGGTGGCAAGCTCCCAGTGAAAGAAGATATATAGAGCATACCATCGAGATCAATGCGAGGAGCAAAGTGAAGCGCCAGACTTTTCTCAGAGATGAGAAAATATTAAAAGAACATGACCAATGTAATATGTGACTGCAGTTAGATCACGGTGGCACAAAACTGAGATCCTTGCAATTGTTTCAAGAATACCTCACTAATTCATGAATCTACAACTGTGAGAATCACCTATAGCCCAAAACATCACTTAAATCCGTGCCAATGTATAATTTGGGCCAGAACTCGCACATGGGCAAATACAAAGTCTAACTATGAGTTTGATAGCCAAACTCAACTCACTCGAATATTTGTTAGCAAGGTCAGAACAAGGGTTATCACAATTAACACTGGGACCGCAAGGTGACATATAATAAAATACATACACTAAAAACAGAGGCTCACATACGATCCAGATAATCTGTTTTATCACGAGCCTCAGAGCTATATCAGCGCTTATCTATCATCATGGCTCAACAACAAGGTTTATCTTTTTTTATTTGGGAAGAATACAGCCATCTCAAAATGCCAATTATGAATAAATTACTGAATAAATTAAGGTTGCAGAAGAGCTCCAAGATATAAGTGTCCATATAACCTTCCCTTAGGGGAAAGAACCAGAAGCTAATCTCTTCAAGGAAAACATAATTTTCATCTTCCTATGGCAATGTCAAAAACTAAAACATAGGAGGATTAAAGTTTCAATTAACAAAAAAATTTCATCTTTCTGTCAAATTTAGCAGTAGTATTATTCATTTCAGATTTGTTCCAGAAGTTAAAATTACATAAGACAAGTACTATGAGAACAATAGCCTGGCTCCTTGATTCAAACATGGAAGATAAAAGGGTGATTAGTTAACTACAACCACTTGACCTCATCCATTCAAGAACTACAACTGCAAAATCTGTGATGAAAGCTCAAAAAACAGCCGACCTGGTGACCCATGTATGCCAAAAAACAGATGAAGGAATGAACACCGGTAACATAAGTTTGCAAACAATAGCAGAGTAATTACTCCAGATATTATACCAAAGTAACAATTGTACACAATTTAAAAAAGAAAAAAAGAGTTTGAATGCAAACACCAAGCCAGCATGACATTTATGACTGCAAATGCAGATGCTATGGCAGTGGAGCATTTCTGTTGCAGTCCGATTTACTCGGGGAGGAACAGGACATAAACAATTATCTGCCACAAAATGTACGCTGCACCTCAAAGCATGCCCCATGAGAAATATTTATGTCCTTACAAATTTGACATCAATTCTTCAAACATTAAAATACCAGAACACAGTATGCATAGTAGAGAACATAAAGAAGAAAATTCTTTTTAGAAGAGTAAAATGAAATGGTGCCCAATCCTATGCAAGCTAACTAGTATAGTTATAAGAGAGGCTTCCTGATACAGTCAAGAAATTCAATAAATGGAATGAATTATGCCCGGGGAGGAGCATTTTGGCGCCTCAGCTTTCGAACGGTTTTTTGATTTATAGCGACAACCCCCTGAGAATATCAAGTCATTTAGCCGGGCCGGGTTTCATAATTCTTTCCGCGGGCAAGTTCGGAATTCAATTCATGGCAAGGGGCTTCATTCCAGTCACTGGGATTACGAGCCAAAATATGCTCAAAATTTTCACAACAATAACAATAAGACAGCTATAATCCCAAATTGCCAGTGTTGGCTATATGAATAATATCCTTCCATTCAGTTCCACTAAGGGTTATCTCCTAAAATTAAGTTCGCTATTACCGTACCATTTGTAGCTGCTTCCAACCGAATTCTCTTATGACTACCTCTACTCCTCATTGCCCCCATTAACTATAATTCTACCATTGTTAGTGACTGGTGCATGTAATGGCTTCCTTCTACATGACCAAACCATCTCAATTGCATCTCTCATTTTACCATCAAATGGAAGAACCTCTGACCTCGTACAAATTCGGACTCATCTCTAAACCTATCTTCAGTGTATATCCACAAGACAACAGCCTCATTTCTATGACACCATGTTGTTCCACTTTTTAGTCTATTTCCTAACAGAAATATCAGTTCCATTAACTAAAGAACACTCTCCGCCAAACAAATCAAAAATTTTGATTCAGTCTTCCGTTCCAGATTTCTTTCTACTGCTATGGAAAAAAATAATAGCTAACCTTGACTCATTCATGAACTAATACTAAAAGCAAACAAAGGAGAACCGAAAACTAACCAGGCTTGTAAAAAACCGACAACCCGAAATCAGTAGCCTTAAGGGGAGCATCCTCATCAGTATTCGCAAACAAGAAATTCTCCGGCTTAAGATCCCTATGCATCACCCCAAGAGAATGACAAGCCTCCACCACTCCAACTATAGTCTTAATCAAATGTGCAGCTTTCCTCTCAGTATAATGCCCCTTCTGTATAATCCTATCAAATAGCTCTCCACCGGCACAAAGCTCCATCACCAAATGAACAAACAATGCATCCTCATAAGTCCCCTTGATCCTGACAACATTTGGGTGCTCTGAGAGATGATGCATGATCTGGATCTCACGCCAAACATCCTCATAATCTTCTCTACAAATGAGCTTGCGTTTTGGGATTGACTTGCAAGCGTACTCTTTGAAGTCTGATTTGTCTACACAAAGGTACGTAGTGCCAAATTGACCTTGGCCAAGCTTTTTGCCAATCCTGTAGTGGTCTCTGAGGTTTGGGGTTTTGTGGGGGAGAACAGAGGCTGGCTTGGATGAAGAAGGAGGAGGAATCTGATGAGATTTCTTCATTTTGGAGAAACCAGGATCTGGGTTTTGTCAATAAGAGAGCGCTGAGATTGGATTTTTTTTGAAAGATTGGTTTTTGCTGAAGAAACTGGGATCTGGGCTGATGGGTTCAGAGGCAAGTGGGATATGGGTTTTGTGAGGAGAATGGAGACGATGCTAGATTTTTGACAAAGATTGAATTTTGATGGTATTTTGAGGTAGCTAGGATCAAATGGGTTCTGGGTTTTTGATTATATAGAAAAGTCTAGGATTATATTGTATAATATTGTTTAGTTGGGATTTTTATGGGAGTGAGTTAAGAGTCAATGAGAGAGAGAGAGAGAAGGGAAGAATTAGTCATGGCCATGATTATGGGTGGGTGGCCCACAGCGGCCCATTCCGTCTAAATACGGCTCCGATATGATGTTTATTAGAGCATCTCCAACAGCTTCTCCATCTTCTTAAAATACTCAATTTTAGGGAATATAAAGCTTTTTTTTGGTCCAACAGATTCCCCATCTCATTCCCCAAAATAGGGAAGAAGGAGAAAAAATAGGGAGCCTTCCCCAAATCTGCAACATTCTCCAAATTTTTGGGGAGAGCTTTATTATTGTAATAAATGCAATTTTTTAAAATGGGGAAGCTGTTGGAGTTGGAGCAAAAATAATTTGGAGAATATGACTTTTGTTTCTCCATTTTAGAGAAAATTTTGGAGAAGCTGTTGGAGATGCTCTTATATTCATATATGTTTGTCCATGTCGGATACGAATATGGATACGGATACGGATATATATCGGTAAAAAAAAATTATAGTCATATCCGTTAAAATCGGATACGGTTACGAATATACATGCAGATATATAAACAGATATGCATGCAGATACAAAACGGATATGAGAAAACTAGATACTATTGAGAAAAATATAGTTCATGTGATACAGCAGAGTTCGTTAATATGTTCTTTATAACTGAAAAGTAAAGATTAGACGTCTTGTTCATCAAAATTAACCACAAACCCATAATCTAAGAATCGAAACTATCATAAAAATATGAAAATATGTACTCGGGTATTTTAGATACGGATACAGATATTTCATTACAAAATCATATCTATAACTATATCCTATCGATTATAAATTTGAGTAACTATATTCGTATCCTAACGAATACGATTACGAGTATTTCATCGAATACGGATACGGTTTAGCACCCCCAGTGGCCCAGGTGGGCAGAAGATTAAGAGAGCTTTCATTTTGTGTATCTCTTTTTTATTTGATAACCTCGTGTGATCTTTCCAAATCATGGAGGATTTTGAGATGTGATGATCCGCTGGTTCATGATTAGGTACACGTAGACTGAAGACAAACTCATTCGAGGGTTCGAGTGCTTGACTGCTTGTGTAGGGCCTTTTAGATACTGGTCCCTTATTTTGTCTTAGTTTGAAAACCCTCAACTCATTGAATGAAATAAATACTCAGGGTTTTTCCCAAGAAACAACATTTAACATAGGATGAAAACATACAAATTTCCTTTAAAGTTCTGTTAATATAAAATTCATCTTTATAGAGGTTTCAGTTGCAATCAACCACATCGATTCAATTTCTGATCAAATTTTGATTGAAATTCTCAAAATACCCTTAAAAACACTGAAAAATATATCATGTTTAGTTAAGAAGACATGTCATGCACCTGATCACACGTGTAACTTTTAAGAGTATTATGGGGATTTTGATCAAAATTTGAGCAGAAAATATGTCAAGGTGGTTGATTGCAACTGGAGCCCACTTTAAAGGTAGTCTCTATATTAATTGAACTTCAACGATAGTTTTTTTATTTTCACCATGTTTTTAAAGGTTTTTTTTTTTGTCAAAAAGCCCCAAATAATTATTAGATCCTCAAACTTATATCTTGATACTATTAATCTAGGCATGTTAGGGAATAAAATGGGAAAATAAATGGAAATAGAAAATGAAGATAAAGTACTTTGGCATCACTTTCTTTTTATAAATCATGTTTAGTGATTAGAAAGTGAAACAGTGGAAAGTTAATGCGGCAACTGACGTGGCATTCCACCTTTCTTATACAATTATTTGATTTCTGTGGAATTGGAAAGAATACTGAAAAGTAGACTTTGTAAATATGATTCATCCCAAAATGTGGAAGGTTTATTAGTAGTATATGTTAGGTATCATGTTGCAAGAACAGTGGTTTATTAGTAGTATATGATTCATCCCAAAATATGATTCCACCTGTTTGTTTCACCAAGTTTATGGAATAGGAATGATATTTGGATCTGACAGCGGCGTTTTCGTAATGAATGGAATCCAATTAAATCCTAATCCTGAGTTTGGTTCAAAAAAAATTTATAGAATTGTTATTCTATAAAGTGGCTCAAACAGTGGTAATTCCAAGAAACCCAAATCCGTTCTTTTTGAGAGGAATTGGACGTGATTTCTGACACCTCTCCCAATTCTTATTCCAATTCTTATTCCGATTTCTGACACCTCTCTCTATTCTTTCTGAACCAAACATGATATTAGGAATTGGACCAATTCTATAAAAGTGAGATTCCTAATCCTTTGGGTGAAACAACATAGAATGCAAAAAAATAGGATTCTATAAAACTAAAAATTGTCTATAAATTTTATATGGATTAAGTTAGAATCCATAAATAAAATAGGATTCCTAATCCTATTCCTAGCCTCTATTGAACCAAACAGGCCCTAAATGTCAAATCTAAAAGTATTCTCATTAAATTCAAGCATTACAAATAAATGCAGCCGTAATTTATAAGCTTTAGTTCCTATTTTTATATGAGAACGATTTGATATATATCTACTAAATAATATTTAATATCCCCATTAGCTTTCTTGGCACAAATTTGATCATCGGGAGAGACATTCGAAGGAATTATACGGATGGACAAAGAGTCAAAATTAATGACGACATTACCGATGAGATAAAAAGATAAAAGTAAAAGCAACAGAAGAAATTAAAAATGGTGTAAAAATATTAATTTATTATTTTCTTTCTTCTCTCCCATCACTTTCCATCCACTTTCTAGCATTTTTCTGAGAAAGCGAAATAAAAAGCCGACGTGGCACCTTTTCACTTTCCGTTCACTTTACATCACCGCCAAGCAAGGAAAAAAGAAAGGAGAAAAGTAAAATCACTTTCCAAATTTTGGTTCACTTTCCATTTACTTTCCGATTGCCAAACATGTCATAAATCCATGTAGCAAGTCCATGTGGCGAGGACGCGTGCAGGTCTAAGCCCTGATTGAGGCCAGCTCTGGTTACTTTATGGGTGTACAAATCTAGCGGCCACCGCGGCGGAGAGAACTGTCGAACCTCACCCCGGTATTACCGGCCGGGGTCGACCTAAATGCCCATCTCGGCCTCAACCTAGTACTGCAAGCTGTCCTCGGTGACCTTGAGCCTTGACCAGGAGAGATGTTCTCTAGCTCTGCTTCCCTACTCCTACTCTTTACGTGTGGTGTACCAAAACATGATCGCATATCCTTAGAGAGGGGTCGGAATGCAGTGGGGGCACTTCTATCCCACCCACCCACTCGGTGACCTTGAGCCTTGACCAGGAGAGATGTTCTCTAGCTCTGCTTCCCTACTCCTACTCTTTACGTGTGGTGTACCAAAACATGATCGCATATCCTTAGAGAGGGGTCGGAATGCAGTGGGGGCACTTCTATCCCACCCACCCA